CAGGGTGTACGCCGTATCATCGTGAAGGTCCACCACCGATAATTGACTCGGTCGGTGATGCGCGCTGGATTGTGGAGCGTATCGTTGACCACGAAGACCCCCACAGCTCGACCGCTCAACGAAACGTCCGTAGTCGTGTTCCTCGCGCGGTTCCGACCGCGCGCCGCTACTTGGTACGTTGGCTCGGTTATCCCCCAGAACATGATACGTGGGAGCCCCGCGCCAACCTTCTCCGCGACGTTCCGGACGTGGTCCACGAGTATGAGACCATGCTGCTTGAGAAGAAGAATTCCGCGGGTCACCCCGCGGAGACCGTGAACGAGATCGAGAACGGCCACGAGAACGACCCGCACGAGGAGGCAACAACGATGTCGCGCTCCGACGCGTGCAACGTCGGCGTGAGCCGCGGCGAGCACTGACACAACTTGTCAGTGCAAGAATGAAAACAAGAAACCACCGGCGACATCGAACCGGTGACCAGTGGGTTGTCAACCCGACACGCTACAACTGCGCCACGAAGTCGGCTTCGTGAGGTTCCTCGTGTCCGTGATCCAAATGCCTCCAGCTCGGAGTCTTCTAAGTCGAATGTATGCTGGGCACTTCGTCGATGTGTGTCCTGGGAACCGAGACGCGCAGTGATGGTCCTCGCAGTACATCCAGAGCTTGTTGCGCACCTGTCGACCCTGGGCTTGCCCTTGTTACCACCGCCAGCGACGCGCTGGCGCTGCCGCCCTTCGCGCTGTCTACGATGTCTCCGCCTTGTCGGTTTTCGAGTTTTCTTCAAATGTGTTCCGTGCGCTTAGGTTGCGTAAGCGCAACTTAGAGAAGAGGGTGATGTAATGGGCCCAACTCCAATTACATAAGTAGGTAGATATTTCTTTAGTTATTACATAATTAGGTAAAGTGGCACACGGGTAGCGTGTGCCAAGGTGTCATCATCTGATTGGTTGATAGTGAGGAGCCAGTCTCACTTAATGACCAATCAGATAAAGACATGTGTTTGAGTGGTTCACACGAGGCCAGGGGTAGCCGCCCTGGTCCTAAATAAATCAGAGTTGAATTTGACACAAACATAAGACTTGGTTTTATTATTGCGAGCTTCCTCCGCACTATAGTGTAAGCTAGTAACGGTATCTCTTACCCCGTTACAGCATGGAGATAGAGGAGACACCCCGAGATGGGGATCGGCTGCAGAGAGACTTTCAGCCATGTTTATAGGCGCAAGAAAATGGCTTGAAACCGCCTGTGGGCTGAGAAAAGCTAAAAAAACATGATTTTTGCGACCAGGAGCCATGTGCGCTTAGTCTGGTAAATTCAACAATGAGCCCCCGATTTTCGTGGCGGGGTCTACTATTAAGAGCACCAACAACAGCCAGTTACCGATGTACGCACTTATTGGTCGATTTCCCACCAATCCTATCCTGCCACCTAAATATGTTTAGACTCGCACCCAACCTGTGGCTCACAGCCTAGCTTAGCTCAAAACACACAAAACAGGTTCCGACAACGAGGTCTCTACGCTCAGCCGTAATTTTTTCGCCCAACTACGCAGAACGCCAGCTCGACCGCTCAAGCCCCACAGCTCAGGCTGTCGCTCCTCAGCCTCCCCCCCACCCCACCTCATCCCCTCACCCAACGACGACGTAGCTCAGTGGAAGAACACAGGGTTATGACTTGAGAAGCTGGTTCAAATCCAGCCGTCGCCATCTTTTCGATGGTGAGGTGGAGGCTCGTCACGGGCTAGTGGCTGAAGGCGTGGTGCTCTACCTGCTTAGGTATCTGGGTTAAGTAAGATGTGGTTAAGCTGTGTGGACTATGGCAAACGTGTATGATGAATATGCTAGCTATGCGTTCCTGTTGCTAATCCTTAACTTCTAAAACGTCTTGAATGTAGCCAGGAGCGGGGTCGCGAATGGCCACAGACTGGAGGATGTTTTAGTGGCGCTTCATTCTGTCGTTTAGGTCTATCTTGCTGTGAAGAGCCTGCAAGTGCTTAAGGACGGCGCTCGACACACGCGAGCTGATCTTCATCTCGCAACCCAGAAAGGTAAGTACGGCTTCCTCTGCTTTCTTGCCCACCTTAAGAGCACAGCCACGATAGTCGTCAGCACCTTGGTCAAGAACAATGCCGTCTTCAAGAAAATTCTTCATGAAGGCCACCAGCAGCTTCACTCTCAACCGCTTTTGTTTTGGCGCCAGTGCGTGCCAGCGTGGATCCTGAGCGTACCACGCAAACCAGGTAGCATGAAGGTGCGTTGGAGATCCCCGGCGCTGTTTCTTGCTTAGTGTGCTAACGTCATCTGTGCCTTCCTCTGGACAGCTTCGTTTTATTGGTGTAGGCTCACTGTTTTGCTTAGCTTCGGGTGCATCTATGTGAGCGTCCGGTTGCTTGATGTACTCCATAAAGCGCTTAATCATAGCCGCTTGATGTGATCCATAAAGGGCTTAATCACAGCCGCTTTATGGTCGATGGTCTTCTGGCTCTCGCTTGATTCTCTTCGCAGTTCATCGTCGATATGGGTGGCTGCATTACTTGTCTTGGTGTCTTCACAGGTAGTGGATGGGGTTGCCAGGTGCGAGGACCATGCAAGCAGATCGGCTGGTGAGCATCCAGCGTGATGAACAGCCGCTTCGATGATCTTCACAGCTGGACTTTTGGGGTTCAGGTCTTTGAGTAGCGGGAAGTGACGGAAGACGCGTGCGGTGAGGATATCCATTACCTTCTTGTTGATGTTTAGGCTGTCGGTCTTGAGCTGAAAGCAGGTAGCAAACAGGACACGCTGCATCCGATCCATCGCTTCACGCGTCGACGTGTCAAAGCTAGTCAAATCTTGCAGCGGCACCGTGGTTCGGGGTTTGTATCCGGTGAGTACTTTCGCTATCTTGTGGCCTTCTTTGCTTGTATTGAGAATGTAATTGAACCCTTTGATCGTCGTGCTTAGATTCCAGGAGCCTCTGTCAAAGATCCATCGTGCATCTCGGCGCAGCCGTTTGCGTGCTGAGTGCCTCCTCTTCGAAACGAGTGCGATATCAAGGCGACATCCACACCAATAGCAGACGCTACACGGTCTAGCACCCGGTTGGCGTACGCGTATACCGTAGGGGCTGTGACAGCGCGCGGCGGGGCTGCTGGAGCGGCAGGACCAGCTGTGACTTGCGGAGCGTTGAGCAGCTCGATCAGCAGGACGTCGGGAGAAACCGTGGAGCTTGCGAAGCCTGCTTGTTCTGGGAGGTTGCTGACGAGGGCTGGGCCTGGGCGGCTTAGAGGATCAAGACGAGCGCAATGGAGAGTAAGGGGCGCGTAGTCAATTCCGTATCAGGAAATAGCGACAGCCCCTGCTCCTCAGACGTCTTTACGTGAACCAAACGCAGGAAGAAGACTTCGCCTGCGTCCACTGACATGTTGTGTTTGCGGACTATTGCTAGGTCAGACGCGCGATCGAACAAGTACCAGAGAAGACATAGTAAAGCTGCATCTTGATAGTCACTTTCTGAGCTATCATAAGTGTACAAATACAACATCAGTTTTTTCAAATCATTTTTCGTACAAGGTGGTGCTTTCGCTACGAGCCCACCACCAGACAGAAGCTGTCTAGTGTTTTTCCCATTTTCAGCAACCGGGCTTCCAATGTAGCTCGGTGCTTAGGGAACTGATCGAGCAGCCATAGCTTGGATTGCCGATAGTACTACATGGCAGTGTTGCGAGCTATTGGTTTACCTTTCTTTCCTTCCTTAAATGCAAGATACATACCAAATTTATCCATCACACACACGAACATTTTTCCGCTCTCGTCACTATCAATGCATTCCCGATGGCTGTTGCCTTAGCCCGCAATGTGCTACCAGGCTGTAGTTCGTCTAAGCCCATGTCACTGGTTTGATAACAGCAAAATAAGCAAGTGATATGTCAATGACTTAGAGTTTGATTAGTCATACACATATTTTCGTATCAATCGGACGTGATACGTCCGTAGAGGACTCGCCTACCCCTATTCAATTTGATTGGTTAAATAAGATTATCATCTTGAAAGCTATTGGTTAGTACTACAGCAAAATTATCTCATTGGCTGTAAGATACCAATATAAAATTTAAGTGGGGTCCGATAAAACTTCATATTCTACCATTTAATCCCTGTAGCTCACAACTGCAGTGGTCACGGTAATGAATCTCATTGAAATTATTTTGTGTGGAGTAATTGTTCTATTTCACACAGCAATTGATCTCCGTGAGAGTATTAATGAACTCCCATTAAAAGTGTTTGGTAAAATAAATCTCATTGCTCTTATTTTATGTAGCCCTGAAATTAATCTCACATCTACATGTCGGCATAAATTATACCAGAAGGTAGAGTTATAGTTAGAACAGAGGGTTGTAATGCAACTGGACTGTACAGTGGCAGAGAGAATCATTTTAAAAAAATATCATGAAATGAAGAAGATTTAGACACAAGTACATGCAATCATATAATTTAGAGCCACAGCCAATTGGTACTTTTGTTGGTATTATAAAATAGATACAGTGAAACTTTTCTTAAGTACGAACATCAGTGCTTACAGTCGAGCATCCAACGGATGCCAATTATTGGGACAGAACATTCCACAGAACAAACATCACCACAGACCTAACTCTAAAAGATATTGACACCCTGCTGCGGGACTTGAACTCACAATGCAGCGATTGGCTAGGGCGATAATTAACCACTGCACCATAAGCAAACCCGATAGTGAGTACAAGATATCACCCACAACTGAGATTAATAATGAACTCTGAAAAAGTTTGTTCACGTGAATTATTCTCAACAAACTTGAGTGAGAATATTTAGTGTACGAGATTATTTATCAACTTAGATTAATTACCGTGACCACTGTACATGTAATGTAAAATGATCGAAGTGAAGCGATAGCCTGCGGTAACAGACGCAAGAGCTACTGCAACAACAATTTGTATTTGCATTTAAAAAACTTCGTGAACATGATTACGCTTTGGAAGTGGATTAAGATTAAGAAAACATAAATGCCGCCAAAATTGTGACCACTGAAAAACGCAAAAATAAATGTTAGATTTGAGATGGAGCAGACTAGTTATAACATTTCATCGTAGCTAATTTTAGAAATATTAGAAGCACATCTGCGTAAGCATACCGGCGTCGCTCTTCTTCCGCGCGACTTGGTCAAGTGTTTGGCTCTCAAGAGCGTGCAGCCGCGAGATGATCATTTCTTGGTACAATTCGGCAAGCGACTCGAGTTTTTCATTGCAGCTCTGATCAACGACATAACCCTTGACTACGGGGTTCAGTACAATGTAGCTCAAACACACGCTGGTGTCACACTCCACTGGCTGGATAAAGCTCCACCCTTGCTCGAGAGTCTGTACGTTTCGAATATCCCCCACAAGTGGCCAGTGGGAGAGTGCACTCCACACTTGAACGACGCGCTCCTTTTCCATGTATTGTTTCATCACCATCCGCATAGTGCATACTTGGCCACCTACCACCACTTCGTACTTGTGAACCGCGAGATAAGAAGCCATGTTTAATGGTAGTTCCTAGTAAGACTTCCGTCAGCTGTGACACCAAACTTTCAATATCTTTTTCTAGAGGAAATAATACGTACGAGTTGTTCGGCAGCAAGTCTTTGTCCTCTGTTTGGCGTTCTCGTCACTTTTGACTATTGACCACAACGCCTTCACAAGAGAAGAACTATTGAAGGGAGATTGAATACGCATACGGGATTTCAATAGATCACCGCTCTTGGTGCAAATGCACGCATCGGCTAGTTCCGACTTGGAGTCATCGAAGCCTGCAAGTCGGAGAACACGCTCCATGTCTGTATACTGCTCGTCCAGCCATCCTTCTAAACACCGCGCCATCTCGTGCTTCGTACTTCGAGCCATCCTTCTAAACACCGCGCCATCTCGTGTCGTGTCAAATGGAACGTTTCGAGGACCCATTTTTATTGCACAAGGCAAAAAGTCAACGAGTTGCCGCATCTGAGTGTGCAGGTTCTGCTCGAGAGTCAGCAGATCTGTGATACTTTCCCGTATTAAGCCTTTCAACTCGGTATTCTTGATGTGAGTATTAAAGCTGTCACGTGCTCGTTTGCTGGCTCGCGTCAGTTCATCTTGCAGCTTGCGTTCCAGCTTCAAAGCCTCAGCTTGCAGCTGAGCAATTTCATGGCGTGGGCGGTTGCGGTCTCGTCGTCGTTGCTTCTTGGGCTTCTTGCTGTTGCTGGCGTTCCTAGCGAATGGGCTGATAGGTGGGCTCTGCTGCATCCACAAGTCATCTATGACAGACATGAGGGCGTCGTCGAGGAGAAGTGGAGAAAGCGGCGCACTTGCAGCGTCATTTATTGCCGACTTGCACTATTTCTAATTTTCAATAAATATATTTTATTGACTATGTAATAGCATATCAAATTATCAGATGGGTATCGGTATGTTATTGTGTAGTTTTGACCAAATACACAGACAATGGAGCTCGTGGAAGACGACGAAGTGCTAGAGGCGGCGTTATCTCCTGTGGATGAATGCGGTCAAGGCGATGTCAGTGCGAAACGAACATTTACAGTCGGCAAGAGCGCCACGAAGAAGAAACGAAACTACAATCCAAACCGTGTTGAAAGGTAAAGGTGCGTAGTAGGAAGCAGAATGGAAAGTGAGATTAGTGAGTGACCGTTCCGTCATTTATCCTTCCTATACTTACCCTCGCACGCCATCCGAGACCTCCAGCTGGTCGGCGCATCCCCTGAATCCTGGCGCCAGATTCATTGAATTTCAACACTCCTCCTCGCCGCCAGCGTTGGTCTGCTGCACTCCTTAGTGCAGGCCGACGACTGTCCGCAACTCCGCTAGTCTTGGCGCCTCCAGAGCCTTCGTGAGGATGTCCGCAGGCATCTCCTCACTCTGCAGGTACTCCGGCTTCAGCACGCCGTTCTTCGTGTAGGAGCTCACGAACTTCATTCTGACGTCGATGTGTTTGGCCTTGGAGGATGATCCTTCGCCGTCGAGCTGCTTGAGCGCAGCCTGATTGTCGACACGCAACGACATCGGGCTGTTGAACGCGACGCCCAGCTCATTGAGCAACTCGCGCATCCCCAGCAACTCGGTGGCCATCACCGACGCTGCCGTAAACTCCGCCTCCATGGTGGAGAGGCTGACTCCAGTTTGCTTTCGGCAGACCCAGGACACGGGCATCCCGTCGACAGAGAGCAATCCGCCCGTGACGGACTTCCTGTCGGACTTGTCGGCAGCGAAGTCCGCGTCGCTGTACGCGACAACGTTCAGCGGCTCCTCCAACGGGCAATTGCCCTTCATGCTCAACCGCAAGGTCATCGAGCCCGCGAGATATCGCGCGATCCGCTTCCCAAGCTTCCAGTCCGACATCGTGGGGCTGTGTGTGCGGCGTGACACCTTGTGGACTGCGTACGCGATGTCGGGGCGCGTGCACCGCGCCACCCACATGAGGCTGCCCACGAGGGATTGAAACTTGCGGATCGTGATCTCGTTGTCGCCACCAGTGAGAGGCAGTAGTACGTCCGCGGTCTCGTCGACGTCGTTGGACTCCGCCCCAATGGGCGTGCGCACGCCGTGCACGGACGACATACCGTGCTCGCGCAGCATCTCCTTGATCGCGAGCTCTTGGTCCAGATCATAGCCCGTCTCCTCGTCATATACCACGCGAATGCCCAGGAACTTGTTGGCGGGGCCCAAGTCCTTGATCGCGAGCATGCTGAGCTCGCTGAAGAAGGCGTCGACGGCCTTCTGCTGCGTGCCCGTGACCAGGAGGTCGTCGACATATACGCCAACCACCAGCAGGGTGCCTTCGCAGGATCTATAGTAAACGCACATGTCCGTAAGGCTCTGCGAGAAGCCGATGTCCGTTAGCGTCTGGTGAAGGAGCTGGTTCCAGAGGCGTCCGGCTTGCTTGAGGCCGTACAACGTCTTCTTCAACTCCAGTACCAGCTCGTTGTCGCTGGACACGCCAAGCAAGCACCTCAGCTCCTTCAGGACCACCATTCCGCGCGGGATGCGCAGGTATATGTCGAGCTCAGGTTCCTTCACCGCCTTCACGTAGGCGTTTGGCGCGTCGCCATGCTTTGCGGGGACGCGCCACTTCCTGGCGAGCACGAAGATCAGCTTCACGCTGCTCATCTCGATGACAGCAGAGAATGTCACGCTGTAGTCGATCCCGAACTGTTGTTCGTTCCCGCAGGCGACGAGGCGCGCCTTCAGTCGCTCGATGGCGCCCTCCGCGTCCACTTTGGTCTTGAAGACCCACTTGGTATTTAGCACATGGCAGCCCTCGGGCTTGCGCACGATGCGCCATACGCCGTTGCCCTCGAGCGCGTGCAGCTCGTCAGCCATCGCAGCGAGCCACTTGTCCTTGTGCTTGCTGCGCATTGCCTCCTGGTACGACTTCGGGTCGTACTCGACCACGCTGTTCACGACGTTGCGCGTAGTCTCCTGTGACTGCGCGGTCTCGTTCGCCGTGACTCTGGCATTCTTGGCCACGGAGCGCGTCACGTGGCGCTCGCGCGACCACGACTTCTTCTTCTTGGTCGACGTGCGCTTCTTCTTGCCCTTCACGTTTGGGGCCCCAGCCTCCAGCGCTTGAGCTCCGTTGTCCGCCGGCTCGCTGCCTTCGAGCGTCTCGCCGGCCTGAAGGTACAGCCGCTGCACCTGAAGGTTCTGCTTCGAGCGTCTCAATGTTCTTGACGTGCTGCGTCGTGACCACCACGCGGTCCTTGGGCAAGTAGACCCGATAGCCCTTGGTCTCCTCGCCGATGCCCACAATCATAGCCGTCTGTGCGCGCTGCGCGAAGTTCTTTTTGCGTGGATCCCGGTACACAGTGCACGGCGACCCGAACACCACGATCTCGCCGAGCGGTGGTGTCTTGCCCGTCAGCTCCTTCAGCGGTGACGCACGCCCTGGGTTGGAGTTGGTCGGGGCGCGGTTCAGGATGTACGCGGCGTACTGAACCGCGTCACCCCAGAACCTCAGCGGGAGCCCGCAGGCGAAGATCATGCACCGCGCCATGTTCATGATGGTTCGGTGCATGCGCTCCGCCTGCCGTTGCTTGACTGGTTGCGAGCCTCGCTGCGCTGCCTGGTCACGCCCGTTCGCTTGCAGAACAAGTCCACGTTCTCGTACTCGCCCCCAGAGTCGGTGCGGAGAACGTGGATCTTGCAGTTGAACGCCTTCTCGAAGTAAACGAGGAAGTGTTCGAAGAGCTTGGCCGCGGCGTCCTTGGTACGCGCCAGGAACACGCGGCAGTAGTTGGACTTGAAGTCGATGAAGTTGATCATGTAGCGGTTGCCCAACCGATCCTTGGGTGTCATCGGCCCCTTCAAGTCGGAGCAGATGACCCCACCCAGCCTATCGATGGGTGAGTGTGAGCCGGTGTCCTTCTTGGACCGTCGGTTCTTCGTTTGCTTGCCCTCGGCGCACGTGAGGCAATTGACGCGCTTGCGGTCGGTCAGGTGGATGCCCGAGCTCGGGTCCTTGGCAAGCAGCTCCACCGCGTCGTAGTTGAGGTGGGCCAGACGCTTGTGAAAATCCAGCAGTGTGCCCTGCTGCACGTCCCTCGGCACCTCTGCAGACTCCGTGAGCTCCCGGCTTAAAGCAGCCATGATCACGTTCGATGGCAGCTCGCGCCTCGGCTCCACCACGGCAGGCACGACCAAGACGTTGCTCCGCATCTCGACGTCAAACGCCACGCGTCCGCCGTTCTTGGCCGCTACGACGCGTCTTCCGGCACGGTGATTCAGCTCGAAGCCTCGCTTGTCGATCATCCCGTAGGAGATCAGGTTGTGCACCACGCCCTTCGCAAAGTAGACGTTAGTGAGCTCCACCATTTGCTCCTCACCGCACGCTGTGACGCACAGCAGCACATTGCCGCGCTTGGTGATGTGTAACGGCTCACCGTTGGGTTGCACGCACTCGTCGCTGCACTCCTCCACGTCCTCGAGGAACGACTCATCATTCACGAGGTGACGACTAGAACCACTGTCTAGGATCCACAGGTCGGTAGTGTCGCTGGTGTGCTCGCCGACGGCCAGCGTGATGTCCCCTGGCTTCTTGAGGTCTGGACACGCTGCCCGTAGATGTCCGACACGGCCACACTCGTGGCAGCTCCGTGTCTCCTTGCGCTGTTTGGTGTGGTCCTTTACCACGTTGACCGTCTCGCGGCCCAGCGACTTCTGCTTGGTCGCGTCGGTCTCCCACGACTGCGCGAAGTGTGCGAGCTCCTCGGCGTGCTGCAGGAAATCGGTACGCGACTGGTCCACCTTGGCCATCAACACCGTACGTAGTTCTGCGGAGGCGTACTGAACGATGTAGTTCAGCACCAAGTAGTCGGCGCCGCCCCCCGTGGCCTCGGAGATGGCCACGAGGTACATGTAGTGCTCGGGCCACGATCTTTTGGTGTCCTTCGGCACCGTGAACAGCTCCATGGCTTGGGCGGGTGTAATGTTTGTCTTGAACGCGTCCAACATCCGTTCCATGACGTACTGCAACGTGGGCAACTGGTTCCACCACGTGTCCACCTGCTTGTTGTAGTACCTCTCGGCCGTACCCGACAGGTAGTGGCCGAGAAGGTCTACTTTCACGTCCTCAGACCACGCGAAGCCGCACGCCGACTGCCCGAGCGCCACCTGCCGCTCGAATCTTCTGCCCCAGTCCAGGAAGCCAGAGCCCAGCCCGACGTACAGCTCCTTGCCGTCGAACGGGCGGATCGCAAGCTTCTTTTGACGGGCGTCCGGGTATCGGAACGCCCAGCCTTGATTCTGCACAGGCGTGGCTTGTGCTTGAGCTGGTACCGGCGCCGCAGGTGGTTGCTGTGCTTCTTGATTAGCCTGGGCGGCGTGCTCCTCCGCGAAGAGCCTTTGCAGCTCAGACATGCCCGTCTCGTGGACCCCGACATCCGCGTGTCGCAGCCCGAAATACTGCGGGTGAACTGTCGGCCGGCGAGGGGCCTGCGTCTGGGGCGTGCCGCTCAATGAGTCGATGTGCATCCTCGACCCGCGTCCCAGGGCCGACGCGAAGAGGCTCGTGTCCACCATGGACTTCGGGTCTTGTTTGGGCGTCTCAAGGCGCTTCTCGAGCTTCACCTGGGACTTCTCCAGCTTGTCCAGTCGGCCGGCGACGCCGCGGAGCAGCCTCAGCAGCTCCGACGCCTCGTCCTGCTCCGTGGTCGCCGACTCCCCTTGCGCGGGCGTCGGCGGTGTTCTCCGCTCCATCGACGGAGGCGGCCCTTGCGCGGTCGGTCTCCGTTGGCATCTGGGCTCAAAACCTGTTGAAAGGTAAAGGTGCGTAGTAGGAAGCAGAATGGAAAGTGAGATTAGTGAGTGACCGTTCCGTCATTTATCCTTCCTATACTTACCCTCGCACGCCATCCGAGACCTCCAGCCGGTCGGCGCATCCCCTGAATCCTGGCGCCAGATTCATTGAATTTCAACAAACCGAGCTCGTGACAAGCAGCGCAAGGAACTTGTGGCTCTGCGCGCAGAATTGTTGGTACTAGAGGATCGTCTAAAGAGGCTGCACCAAGAGATGGAGAACGTAAATATTGGAGCAATGGAAGTGGGGAGACAAGAGACGATAGAGTTGTGAAGGAAGATGGCGCTGTATCAATGACAAACCCGAATGAGTGCAGAGGAGGAGAGCAAGCGACTGCGTGAACTCATTCAGCAGCACAATGAAGTGACAAACCAAAGACTTCAGCGTCTCTTGCATAATAAACAAGGATGTGTGGAGGTACGAGTGATTTTTATTATTTATAATAATTTTGTTAAAATAATTTTTGCTAATTTTTGTGACGTGGTTATAGACGATCGAGCGCTTGCCAGACCCGTGGCCTTGCAGACGACAGTACCCTGTACCGCTCGGAAACAATGACAATTTGCTATTCAGAGATATGGCAGGTACTATCGACTTTGTCCAGCGTCAAGTGCTTCGAGTGCTTACACTCGATTCGAACTCTGGAACAGCGACCGATGTAACTTTGTTCCCTTCGGCTAAGAATGCCCACCCTCGATTATTTGCAGACAAGATTTTGCCATACAGCGTCCAACTGACCAGGAGATGTGGCTTGGCAGTACTTTGCGCACTCGTTTAGACGCCCTACAACTCGGTTTTATTACCACGCAGAGACAAACCAGGTAGGTTTGAAAACTAAGAATTTGGTGTACTGACAATTAATTTCACGAGCTATAGTCTTCAGGTCTTGTATGTGACGATACAATCGTAGAAAGCTTCGGCGAGGAGCATCGCTTTGGGAAAGTTCTCTTCGACTTAAAAGTCAAGCAGATTGTTCGTCGTTATGTGGTAGCTGGTCGTGTTGTGATTGCTTGGCGAGCTCTCTTACACCCGGAAACGTTTAAGAACGAGAGTCTGCACGGAATTCAGTTCAAAGAGAAAGGCGCTCTCGTAATTGAGCCTTTTCCAGCACCGAACGGTGATGGCAACAACGTTTCTTGTGTCGTACACACGTGGCAAATGATCACTCCAGATATCACTGACGACGCTGCAAAAAGTGGTCGAAGCAAGTTGGTACACGACATGACAGAGTTCTTACTGGAAGGATGTCGACCCGAACGGGCCGTTGAGAATTTGGAGCGAGCATTACGTGCACAATCGAGTCAACAATTATACCCGTGTTAGAATAAAAAATAATTGAAAAAGCAAGAAAAAATCTATTGCATAATGAGTATTTTTACACTACACAATGTGCACTATTTCGTCTACTCTGCTCAATCAGCATATTCTCAATCATTTGCACAGTACTTGCAGATGACGAGCCGCCCAACACAAAATCGGTCAGATCCTGAACAAATTGAAAACTATTTTTAGTCCCATTTGTGTTCGCCAGACTCTCTGGGGTAATGACATGCCAGATACGCAGATGAGTGAACTCGTTACTAGCCGTAAGAAGTTTTGTTGCGTGAGGGTGTCGGATTTCACACGATCCCTTCTCTTGGAAGCGGAAACCCTCGAGTTTCTGACCTTTAAACTCTGCCGGATCAATATATGACCTCCACGCGATCACGATCCGGTCAGCCTCGCGATATCGACGGAACACTTGCTTAATCCGGAAGTCTGCCATCCGTTCCGGTGCTTTAATCTCCACACCGAAGCTTTCACACACTGTATCGTCATGTGCCACGTCTTCAGAGTCATATTTCTTTCTCTCTCGACCGTATGAGAAATGATACTTTTCCTGCTGAAACGCGTGAGCCAGACACCTCCACGCAGCTTCTGCGGTTGTCTGAAGATTAAATGGCAGTGTCTTCTCTCCAAAAACTCCTAAACACGTCCCGTCCCCCGTGTCTGCTTGAAAGAAAACCCTCGCTGCTTCGTGGTACACAGAATCCACCCCTACTTCCAGTTCCTCGAAAACCTCTTGATCTGACAGTTCTAGAGGCAATCCATGCACTCTTCTGGTCCGTTTTTCTTGTGCTAAACTCGTCTCCATCACCTGCATCAGCAATAATTTAAGCGTTAGTACTCAAAATCAATCATTTAACCGTGAGTCTTCGTACCCGTCGTGCGACGCGCGTATTTAACGCTCGCTGCAGCATTTCGCGCACTTTCTTTTGGTCTTCCAGTGCACCTTTGAGTCTAGTGTTCTCTCTTTCAGACGTTAGTCGTTGGTCCAATTGCCGCGTCGCCAAATCCTTCCACACGCTCAAAAGAGCGGACGATTGGCCACTGAAGTTTGGCGTACCATTTCGCAGCTGTGCGCGCTTCTCGGCGCCCTCTTTCAAGGCAGTCAATTGCGTTTCCAGCCCTCTAGCACATGTGCGGAGAAATAGCACCTCTCGACGTCGCATTTCGCGTGCTCCATTGCGATGTTTACTCGTGGTTTTCGTTATGGGGTGCGCGGCCTCAAACGCAGTCCATGCAGAGCTTTCAATCAGCGTACTGAAGGGCGACGCATGCTTGGATCGACTATGTGCACGCGGGGACTCTTCGACTGCTGCGGTGTACTCATCTAGCAGCGCCAGAACCTCCGTGAAGGCCTCGTCGTCGTCTTCCAGCAACGCGAATGACATGGTGCAGTGGTATTGTGACTTTATTGAATGGCGTCCCATGCAATTTGTCACAGAAGGAAACATCTGATTCTGAGTCCAGAGAGAAAAGACGGGAGTGGACAGATGAAGATGGACAGAATAAAAAACATTCCTCGACTAAAAAGTAATACCAAGAGCTAATGTTATATCTCAAACGTGTTCTTCACACGCGTAGCTGCCGTGATGAAACGCACACTGTCCATCAATGAGCATGTCCTCGATCGTCTGCACTGTACTCGCAGAAGACGACACTCCGAGTACGAAATCTGTGAGACCTTGTACAAACTCGGAGCTCATATTCTCCGGACCCTTTTGACTCTCCGGAGTGATAACATGCCAAATACGCAGAAGAGTGACCTCTTCACCGGATGTCTGACTCTTTGAAGGTTGTCGAATAACACACGACCCTTTCTCTAGAAAGCGAACACTCTGCAAACTTTGGCCTTTAAACTCCGTCGTGTCGATAAAAGATCTCCACGCGATCACAGTCTGTTCCGACTCTACATATCGACGGAAAACCTGTTTTATACGGAAAGTTGCCATTCTTTCGGGCGCTTTGATCTCCACTCCAAAACTTTCCCCCACTGTATCGTCATGAGTTACTTCGTCCGTCTCGTCCTTCCGCCTCTCTCTTAGGTACAAAAAGCGGCACTTCTCGTGCTGGAATGCGTGTGCTAGACACCTCCACGCAGCCTCAGCAGTCGTATGGACATCGAATGGCAACATTTTCTCTCCAAATACACCTAAACTTGTGCCTTCGCCAGTATCAAACACACTTGCTGCTTCCCTATACACACTGTCAACCTCAACTTCGAGCTCTTGGAAAACGTCTCGATCTGCTGCTTCCAGCGGCACACCATGCACACGTCGTGTCCTTTTCTCCTGTATTAAACCCGTTTTCATCGCCTACAAAGTAAAAAACACAGTTATTTGTCATCACCTTAAAAAACAGAATCCCAATCAGTATTGTGTACCTCTCGCGCAATTTTCGTGTTTAAGGCTTGCTGCAAAATTTCACGCAGTTTGTTATGAGCTTCCAATGCACATTTCAGTCGGCTATTTTCTTTTTCGGATGCCAGTCTCCTGTCCAATTGGCGTGTGGCCAGATCTCTCCACATACTCATCAAAGCCGCGTCTTCTGACGCCAACATGGCACTGTGCAGCTCTGCACGTTGCTCTACTTCTTCTTTCAGCGCGGTGAGCTGCTTTTCCATCCCGTCGACACATGTGCGGAGGAATTGCACCTCTCTGCGTCGCATTTCACGCGCTCCGTTCCGATGTTTACTGGCATTTTTCGTGATGGGGTGTGCTGCTTCAAATGCAGCCCACGCGGCGCTCTCCGATACGCGACTGAAGGCTGAAGAGGTTCTCTTACAGATGGGAACGAACGGCTCTTCGACTGCCGCGTTGTACTCGTCCAGCAGCGCTAGAACCGCCGTGAAGGTCTCGTCGTCGAGTAGTGGGAACGACATGGTGCTTGGAATTTGGCAATTGGGCACTGTTGCCGAACAGTGTCCGGTTTAACAAGTCTCACAAGTGAATCATCTGATTCTGAGTCATTAGAAAAGCGAGTGGAAATAAAGATGACGCCCCCTTTCCGCCGGTTCAGGGGCAGTTGAAGCTGGAAAAATGGAAACCGAACTTGTTGCTTCAACATCGTTTAGCATTTTCAAACTACTTCTTCGTACCCAAAACTACTGCAACTTCGAGGAGATTGGGTGTCAACTAGCGCATTTTCAATCATTTGCACCGTGTTTGCCGACGACGACCCGCTCAACACAAAGTCCGTGAGGTCCTGGACAAAATCGGCGTCCATTTCCTCCGAGTTTGCTTGAGTCACTGGCGTAATGATGTGCCAGATACGCAACACAGTCAGTTGCTCGTGTGACGAATATCGAACAACACATGAGCCTTTCTCCTGGAAGCGGAACCTCTCAAGCTTCTGGCCTTTAAACTCCGCTGGGTCGATGAACGACCTCCACGCGATCACAACTCGGTCGGATTCCACGTAGCGTCGGAAGATCTGTTTAATCCGAAAGTCTGCCATCCTTTCAGGCGCTTTGATCTCTACACCGAAACTCTCTCCAACTGTATCATCGTGTACCGTGTTCGCGCGACTGTACGAGAAATTGTACTTCTCGTGGTGAAATGCATGCGCCAAACACCGCCACGCCGCGTCCGCCGTTCTCCGAAGATCAAAGGGCAGCGTCTTCTCTCCGAATACACCTCCCAAATACCCCTCGTCCATCGTTTCAGCTTGAAACAAAGCTCTAGCCACCTCGTGATACTCGGCGTCCACACCCATTTCCAGCTCCTGGAAAATCTCTTGATCCGACACATCTAACGCCACGCCATGAACTCGCGTCGTCCTCTTCTCCGACGTCAAACTCGTCTCCATCACCTATAATATTAATATTATGTCAGCTTACAGTTCCGTTCTACCAGCGTTGAAGAGTACAGCTCGTACCCGTTTCGCGACGCGAGTATTTAATGCGCGCTCCAGCATTTCTCGCAGCTTTTTCTGATCGTCAAGAGCACTATGAAGCCGACTGTTCTCCCTCTCGGAGACCAATCTCTGCTCCAATTGATGCGTTGCCAGGTCTTTCCACATGCTCATTAATGCTGAGCACGCGTCCGTTCCGGTGGTGGCGCTTCTCATTTGTGCGCGCAGCTCCGTCGCCTCTTGCAGCGCATTCAACTGCCTCTCGAGGCCTTTGACACAAGTGCGAAGGAATTGCACTTCTCGACGTCGTATTTCGCGTGCTCCATTGCGATGTTTGCTGGCAATTTTCGTGACGGGGTGCGCAGCTTCGAACGCGGCCCACGCAGCACTCTCGGACACACGACTGAAGGGAGACAAGTGTTTGGTGCTGGAGTGAGGAGGTTCAGGCTCATCGACTGCAGCGTTGTATTCATCTAACAGCGCCAGAACCTCCGTGAACGTCTGGTCATCTTCTTCCAGCAGCTGGAAGGCCATGGAGGCGATGGTGACGAAAAGCGAAATGGAACTGTTGAGACGCCATTTTGCAAATGATTTGAAGAGCTTGAGCAGCACAAACTTCAAACTTCAATACCATACCGGGAAAGTCGTAATGACAGAGCACTGGCAATGAGCCTGTTATTAATTATGCAAAGGTTTTCTTTGTAAGACGTTTTCAATGAAGTAGTGCTTTACGTTCACAAACTACAAGGTTTTATTAGTTTCCATGAGTACTCAATCTCTACGACTTTTCCGGAAGAGTTAAGTACATTTGAATAGAGACTTGTTTATTCGTGTTACTTCATTCTTCGTAACTACATGTGCGGGCTAGCTGGCGTTATGGATTTTACATGGTTGAACGGCCTTCCGTTCGGCTGTCAAGACGCCAAGCTAGCGACAATATTGTATACTGTAGAGCTTTTTCCACTGTGATCATGCACAACGTTGGTAAAGGTCGTTCGCTATGCGTTCCGAGCGCAGCGAGACAATCGATACAGGACGGAGCGCACTCGTGCCGTGCGTGGAGGCCCTTAGTTGAGACAGGAGGTGCGCTTGTGAATATCCGTCCGAGGAGCGGTCGTGGGCGTGTTCTGGCATGAATCGCCAGCGCTTCGGATCCGCTTCGATCTCTTCACGGGCGACGTCGCGAGCGCTGGTTGCTACCATGGACTGGTGGACGCATATGTTACAGAGCGTCACCTCACGCTGCACGACGTGGGTTGAGAGACGGTCGTCACGTCTCGGATCGGTGATACAATTGATCACCGTCTTCTTCAAGCGACAGGACGAGCACACATACCGCCAGCATAATTGACACGTGGTCGCCGGTTTCTTTTTCTTGCCATGCGAGCTGAACCACGGGCCGCGCTTCTTGCAGGTCACGCACACCTTGGTGTCAGAAGCAGCCATGGCAGCCGCGGCAGCAGCCGGGACCGTGACTGTGAGTGAGCCGTGTCTACCTTTCTGTGGTGGAAGCGAACGAGTGAGACTTGCCAGACTATTCTGGTGAGAAATGAACCCCATCGGGTTCTGCATGGGTGGCTGACGTTGTGCTAGCATCCACGCGAGCTTTTTCATCCGCCCGCATAATAAAACTGTGCCCGTTGCTGCCATTTGGGCAGTTGTGGATCGAACAGCGGCATTCCCTCCACTTAAGCATGCGCGCGCAAACACTTCAACGGATCCACGACCTGGACCTTTCGAGGAAGCACCAGTGGTGGCGTCTCCGTCACGGAATAATATACATGTTGACATGTTTCCTCGTCGCACATTGGGTCGGGCGTGCGTTTGAGGGAAGTGCACCGAGTGACGCAGTTGGAAACCAACGCGCTCACCCGAGGCCAGTTGGGTTGTACCTGTAGCCTCCAAGAAGATGAGATCCTCTCGACTGCTTGCACCCGGAAGAGTGACCGGGTAGTGTAGCGGGTGGTATCGATGATGATCGATTGTCGGACCTTCCTGCTCGACCCACTTAACCGTTAAGGATCGAAACGGCTCGGCAATGCTTGGCGTGGTAATTGTAGCCAACACAGCGCCGTTTGTTATGTTGCCATGTTCGTAGGCGCTTTTCACACGCATAGCTTCCGTAGAAGCGCCAAGAGCACCGTACATGGCGTCATCTAGTGAGCCTGGCACCGAGCCAACGAGCTGTAACACCGGGAGCTCAACGCCCGCAATTATTGTCGCCCCAGTGGCAGCATCGGAATCGTTGCTATACGCCGTTGTCCTGCTGTCGGAACTGTTGGTGTTGCTGTGAGTGCTGGCAAAACTGCCTGTACGTCGACTGAAAAAGCTGGAGATGCTGCTACAACTGCTGTCACGGCTACCAATGCTGGAATTAAACGCGTCCGTGCCGGAAAAGTCGGCGATAGCGGAGCTGCGTTGACGGAAGCTCCGAAGACGCTCGTGTCGGCGTTTACGGCGCTCCACGTCCTTCCGTCGACGTTGTAGAAATACGCGCAAAGTCTTTTCTTGTTTTAAGCACTTCGAGAAGTTGCCGTCTACTTTTCGACGATCCTTCTCAATGTGCTTCTCGTACTGTACTACGGTGTTCTGGACGAACATCCGTGCTACCGCTTCAAGCTGCGCCTCATCCTCGACTGCAAGCTGAAGTGGGGCAAACGGGCTCTTGAACTCCGGTGAATTTGTAGGACGGTGGTGGATACGCATCGCGTCGACCTTCCAGTTGGGTCTATTGCTGAGTCGTGTAAGGTCAATTTTCAAATGGAGTGGAGTTCGGGCGTTGGGACAGTGAAGTTCTAAAGGCAAGTTGGTGGCCTTTTAGAAGTGAAACGCTGGCCAGAGCGTGCCCGGTCTGTGGTGTGCTCAAGATAGTCATGTAGAGTTGCAACTGCCCCCAACGCCACCGTCACGCAACATCGGAGCCCTTTGAGGCTGTCTCATGGTGCAAGTAGAGTAAGCTAGACGACGCTTGGGTTTTGGAGGCCAGCAGAGGAAAGACACTTCACTGGTGATCCCTTGACGGTAGTTATCAGTCCACCACCGATGGGATCACACTTGGGAATGGCTCCGATAATCGCGGGAAAGGCGAGCAGAATTCAGCATGTCTGACTTGCCACTGAAACTTTGATAAAGCGCATGCTCATTGGCAACGCAAAGGACGCATTATGTCAAACTGATATGCGTCAGTCGAGCTCTGACCTGCAAAAAAAATGCCTGGAAGGAAGCACATTCGCGCGGCAGTTCTCAGTCCAGTGTTGAGATCAACTCAATGTCGTGAAACTACCACCACTATACGTCAGTAGTGTATAGTTTGAAAGGATACATGTATGTATTTGAAGTAAAAATTAGGCTTAATCTGATATCCGGATACAAAAACTGAAATTATACGCGTAGTCAGACGTAACGGAAGGAGTGCATGTACTACGAAACGAAAGATTTCAGCATCGGTATGGTCCGACCCTGGTTCCTGCTTTTTAGCATGGCTTATTCTTCAGGACAAGGCGTCAAAAGGCGTTTCCGCTCTGCGCGGCTTTGATAGTGGCGTGTGTGTGTCCTTTGAGCGCTGATCTGATCTTGTGGTTCATTCCTGTTCTAAGCAGCCAGCAATGACATGTTATGATGCAGTTATGCTCGCCGGCCAAGAAGGAGGGACCGGAGCTCATTCCTTAGCACGAGAGGCAAGTTCAAAGCGCGTGGAGAACATGTATGCTTTCTGCGATGTCCACTCACGGCGTTAAGCAGTTTTCTGGCGCATGCGGAGACAACATCAGCTGACTTTAGGCTGCTGCATAGTGCAACGGAGCTGTGGATCATCAGCGGCAACCGTTTTGAGCTCTAAAATAATGGTTACTTCGAAGAATCTGACAACTCAACTCTGTGAACCGATACGACTTACATGTATTAGCATGTAAGATGAAGACTGCGTTTGAACCACCAACGGGATTACATGAAGCGAGTGTATGTGGATACAGTACTGTAGAAATTTGTCTCAAAGCTTAGTCTCTTAATAAACACAAATATTTTTTGTGAGAGGCTATCCGTTTTCCAGTGCTCTTAAAAAAGGCAGATTATATACATAAGTATTTCGGTTAATTAGACACATCCCCTTTGTTGTAGAAAGCAAAAGCGATCTTCCACAATGACCTTCCAGCGCGAGGCCTCACGTTTTCGTAACTGGATCGAGGGCAACAGCAACGCCGTTTATTCACCTGGTGGGTGCCTCGCCAAAACATTCACACGACAAAAAAATAATCGGTTGTCGGTTAGCTAAAAACTCGCTTAATGCGATGCTGTGTTTGCAGAGAGGAACCGCTATCTCCTGTACGTTTCATTGGCGTGTCCCTGGGCCTCGCGTTGTGTCGGTGCTATATATCTTAAGAAACTAGACGACATTATTGGACTTTCAGTGGTGCATCTGGTCTTCCGACGAACTCGCCCCATTTTCGAAAAAGATACACACTGCGGCTGGACCTTTGCCGACCCAAAGACGACGCCAACGCGGCCAGGACCTTCGGGTATTGGCTCTTACTCGTCAAAGGGCTGTATTCCAGATACAATTAATTAACGCCAAGTTCATCCGAGACTTGTACGACCAGTGCACATCTGAGCCAACTCGGTACACAGTCCCGCTGCTGGGACAAGAAAAACCAGACGATCGTATCGAACGAGTCAGGAGATTTCATGCGTATGTTTAACTGTTCATTTAACAACTTAAGTGCCGTCAAAAGTATATTTGTATCCCGAAGAACTGCAGTCAGAGATCGACGAGCTCAACGAATGGGTACACGACGACGTCAGTAATGGTGTCTTCAAGTGTATTTTGAAGCCGTAGACAGTTTAATTAACGGTCTGGACCGTGCTGAGGAAGTTCTGGCCGCGCATCGATTCTTGGTTGGAGATCGGTTTAGTGAAGCTGACCTGACGCTTTTTACGACGTTAATCCGCTTTGACGAGGTATACGCGATACACTTTAAGGCTAGCAAGCAGCTCATTGAACAATACCCGAACCTCAACAATGTACGTGACGTTTTATTTAGTAGAAAGCGGCTACCAGGGCATTAGTTGACTACTTGCTTGGTTGCTCAGTACGTTACCAGATGCCACCGATTGCGAAAAGAGTGGACATGCAGCAGATCAAGATGCACTATTACGCGTCTCACACGCATTTGAATCCAACCACGGATAACTATTTTTCTTTTTTCCTTGCGGAAGCGTTCGTACCGGTATCCGTTTGAAAATACCGATATTTCTTTTGTTGACGCTCATGAATTTGTTGACCACCCAGTACGAAATTAGCAGTCGACTGGGCAATGGAATGATCATTCTCCAATTGGCGACCAGCTCATCAAGCAGCTTTAAAAAGACTCCCAGCAACGTGAACCATGTCAGTGAAGGGATTTGTGTTCAAGACAGCCAAAGCGCAGAACAAGCCGGCCAGCAAGTTCCGCAACTTTATCGAGCGTAGCAGCAACGCTGTTTTTCCTGCTGGTACGTTTCTTTGCTGGTGGTTTCTACATATTAAGAAGAAGAAGAAGAAAACTGATTCTGTGCGTTTAATCGGTACCATTTGTACGTTTCCTACGCATGTCCATGGGCTTCTCGCTGTCTGAGTGCCATGTATCTGAAAGGACTGGACGACATCATTGGGCTGTCTGTAGTGCACCCGTTGATGCAGCGCACGCGGCCGGATGACAAGGATGACACCCACTCTGGGTGGACGTTTGTGGACCCTGCCACTACACCTTTCCTTACAGGCCCAACAGGCCACGGATCGTACTCGTTTGAGGGCTGCACCTCCGACTCTGTAAACAATGCACGCTTTATCCGTGATCTCTATGAAAAGTGTACGACCGAGAAAACAGCCTACTCGGTGCCGTTACTGTGGGACAAGAAGAAGAACACCATCGTGTCGAACGATTCCGCAGACATCGTGCGAATGTTTAACAGCGCGTTCGCTGATCTGGTGCTCGATCTGTACCCCCAAGAGCTCCGTTCAGAGATCGATGAGATCAATGAATGGATCTACAACGACGTGGGCCATGGCGTCTATAAGTGCGGCTTTGCCGGAACGCAGGAACTCTACGACGCTGCGGTCGAGAAGGTATTCGCAGGTCTTGACCGTGCCGAGAAAATCCTGTCTGAGTACCGGTTTTTGGTCGGCGATCGGTTCACCGAAGCGGATTTGAAGCTTTTCCCGACTCTTGTGCGGTTCGACGAGGTCTATGTCGTGCATTTCAAGGCCAACAAGAAACTCATCCAGCAGTATCCGAACCTCAGCAACGTATGTATTGCGGCAACTTTTGCAAGAATATTATTATTGTTGAGAATTATCTTGTTTTTTTATGCAGTACGTTCGCGAAATTTACCAGTTTCCCCGTATGGCGAAGACCGTGGTTATGCCTCACATCGCCATGCATTACTATGGCTCGCATACGCACCTGAACCCGTTCGGAATCGTCCTGGCGGGTCCGAACGTCGACTTTACCCGTCCTCATGATCGCGACCGCTTCACGAACGCCGTCGTGCCTACTTTCGAGTAACTTTGATACATGTAATACATGAACACAGTTTTTCATTTCTGGTAGTTGCATATTTGTCGTCCTTTGCGGAACGTTCGAGAAAAACTGAAGTGAACCAACCAGCCACATGTCATTTTCATGATCACAAAAATGGCAATGCATTGGCTGGCAACAGGCTCGTAGTTGAAGCCACGTGTCCATCTTGCCAAAAGTGCAAAGCCCCATTATTCGTACTTAGTATGAGCTTTACAAATTTCAAGTGTGAAAAGGTGCCGGGATTTCAGCACGACGCAACAAATCCGAATCGTCGGGAAACCGGGATAATGCGCGTATTAGCTCTCATCGCAGGCGTCCTCGTCGCATTCTGCGCCACCAACGTACGTGCCGCTCAACAGACAACCTTCCTTCTACCGCTCGCGGCTTGACCCCTCCAGTAGCTGGCGATTTCGGTACTTTGCCACATTCCCAGACCATCATTCCGCTAATATGTTTAAAAACACTTGCCATTTTTCAGCTCGCAGAGGCAAACCCGGACTCAGTGGCAAAAGTCCGAGTTGCCGCTGACAATGCGTTCGCCGGTGGAGACATGAAAACAGCCATCACGCTGCTATCCAAACTCATCGAACTGGAGCCCAGGAACGAGCGCAACTTCTACAAGCGCTTCCGTGCCTATTTGAGCGAGCGCAAGTACTCGCATGCCCTGTCGGACTTGTCGTCGTCGCTAGATGTAAATCCCAAGTACAAACAGGGCCGACTTCAGCGTGGCAAGTTGCTGATGATGCTGGGACAATGCGCCGAGGCTTCGCAAGATTTCCAGACAGTGGTCGAGTGAGTTGGCAACAAAACTTTTTTCGTGATTTATCGTGAATTTTCATATAACTCTGCATTGCTATTTTTCAAAATCTAGACTGTACCCGAAGGAGGCAACTGGTGCTGAGCAACTGGACAAAAGCAAAGAATGTGCGTCAAACATTGACGAAGCGGAGCGTGCGCACACGCGCGGAGACTACCAGTCAGCGTACAATTACTTGACACAAGTGCTGGAAGGCTCAGCCATCTCAAGTGTGCCACTGCTACTCGAGCGTGCGCAACTGAGTGTGTCCCTGCAAAATCCTTACGACGCAATTGCCGACCTGGGCTCCATTCTCAAACTAGATCCGTCCAATCTCATCGCGTTGCAGAAACGTGGCGAGGTATTGTACTCTCTGGGCGACAAACAGTCGCTCGAAGCGGCCCAGTCGCACTACCGCCAAGGTTTGCACTCCGACCCCGAGCACAAAGGCATCAAGTCTCTCTACAGGAGATTGAAAAAAGTACTGAAATATATTAATCGTGCCGAAGACGCCCAGCAGCGTGGCGCGCATAGTGAAGCCGTGGCAGAGTGGCAATCCGCTCTGGAAGTTGACGCGGACCACTCTGCCATGAACAAGGAGTTTTCTCTGCAATTGTGCTCGAGTGAGCTCCATCTCAAGCACTTTAAACAGGCTCGAGATGCCTGTGAGAAGACCGTGGCAATCGATAATGGGTACGCTCTCGCATTTGCCAAACTAAGCGAGGCTCAGATCGGTTTAGAGCTGTACGAGGACGCTGTGCGGTCCGCAAACCGCGCGGCGGAACTGGAGGACAGTCGCGAGTTTAAGGAAAAAGTGGCTCAGGCGGAGGCCGCTTTGAAGCAGAGTAAGACCAAGAATTACTACAAGATTCTGGGTGTGTCACGCAACTCGGAAGCCAAGGAGATCAAGAAGGCGTACCGTAAACAAGCGCTGGAATGGCACCCGGACAAACACACGGATAAGGACGAATCCGAGCGGGAAGAAGTGGAAAAAAAGTTTCACGATATCGCCGAAGCCTACGAGATCTTGTCGAACGAAGAAACTCGTGCTATGTACGACCGAGGCGAGGATGTGACAGGCAACCCGCAACAACAGCAACAGCGTGGAAACCCATTTAACAACGCACACTTTTTCCAGCAGGGTGGCCGCACTTTCCACTTTAACTTTGGAGGGTAGACACGAGGACCTTGGTTTGTACAGAGAATGAGTAGAAGGAGTGGAAAGAAGAGCAAGCTAAGTTTGAGAGAACGACAGAGTGACGACAAGTATAGGTGGAGCACTGGATGATCATTTTGCATAGCAATGAATAATGATATCCTAGGCAGACTGCCTTTAATAAACGACGTTTGAGTTTAGTATCGCATCTTGAGTGAGTCAAGTGCTTGGAGGCGAGAAACGATGAAGTTGTGGTACGAATTGATCAAAGACTCCACTGTCCCGTAACTTTCACCGGATAACACGTTTTGTGTGGTCGTATTCACGACTCGTGGATACGTGGACCACGAGGCTATAGCTGAGACATACGCTGCCCTCTTTGGTGCTTCTCTCCCATTCACACGGAAGTCACCCAGTATGACTTGTAATTTCTAAATAGCAACGCGAGACGAGAGGGAAGTCCGGGTCAGCAATAAATCAGGAGCTTGCTAAAGTTGAGCGCGCCAGATTTCCAAATGGAGTCGAACGCCTTGTTACACATCGACAACGTTCTAAATGTCTCCCACGATGCAGTCGCTTTTGAAAGGCTAGAAAAACAACGTCCGGGACTTAAGAGTGGCACCAATGTGCTCCGTTGCGTTGCTGGAACAAAAAATGGCAGATGCTGCCTAGCGAGACGAAGAACTTGGCTCATCTCTATGTTTTGATCCCAGACTTCGCGCCATCATTGCGAGATCTTCGTTCCTGAGTCATGTTGTATGGGAGGTTTCGAGTTCTTGCTTATGAGTGCTTAAATTCTGTTCGAGTGCTTGAATGTCAGCACAGCTCTCGCGGGGCATCGTTTTCAGCTTGATCATGGCGCTTTTCGTACTGTTTTTCGTAGTCTGTTTCTCCATTTCGTTCTCCAGTTCAACGGCTTGTCCTCACAGGCGTGCTAATTTATATATTTATAAATTTATTTCGTGACAAGGTCTATTGCGATTAGGCAGCGATCGCTTCGTCTTGGGCTTCTTCTTCGCTGCCACTACACCGTCCGTGTCGTCTGGTTAACTTGAAAAATTCGAGTGATGCTTAATGGACTACTTCTTGGGCTCAGCAGACTCCACAAGTCGTCAACCATCGTCATAAGGCTGTCGTCAAGGTAGCATCGTTTCGGCAGTATCTCTGGCGCCTATGATTAAAACGTTAAGTAACTTGTTTTGTGCTTTATTAATAAATTGTAGGTTTAGACAGGCAGCTGACGTGGTCATCATCTCCCGTTTGAGTGATGGTCGCTCCTCGGCTACGCCGAGTGGTGACCATTGTGATGAAGGAAGTAGTCGTAACAACAGTAAGTTGCAGGGACTGAAAGTCCAGCAGGGGAGAAAACCGAATGCTGCTGCTTGCTCTTGACGGTGCAAGTTGTCGAGTGTGTAGCAGCACACGGAAAAACCCCGGTAACATATATTGGTAGGATTAGCAGTAGGATGGGGCTGGCGGCTCGCCAGCCAATGGTCCGTCGAAGTCCGGCTTCTGGACGCGAGCATCGCGTCCTGGAGGCACCTGAGCCTCAGGTTTGAGCTGGACGCAGTCCTGACTCTTCCTCCACACTTCACACTCCCACTTAATCTAGTCGAAGCGCAGCTTCAACATGATCACCTTATAGAGCTCACCACGATGTCTTTGGCATCTTCTAGCTGCGCTGCAGCACGACGCTTCGTCCTTGGTAGCGCTCTTCCTCCTTCTTGTCCTTCGCATGCATGAACTGGTAGTAGTAGCTTGCATTCACGCATGGCGATGATATTTGGCTCCCACTGAGCGAGCTGAGCCTTGCTGACGGTCGATGCGCAGCACCTTCATCCCATCACGGCAATGTTCGAACTTGTCCTTCGGCAATGGCTTCGTCATCGCGTCGGCGATCATGTCGTCGGTGCCAACATGGCGAATCCGTAGCTGCTCGTCCTCCATAAGGTGGCGCACCAAGTGGAACTTGTTCATAATGTGCTTGTTCTTGCTGTGCTTGACAGGCTTGGCAGTCAGATAGATGCACGACTTGTTATCGCCGATAATCTCCGGAGTCGCGAACTCCCAGCATAGTTCTTCACAGAGTCCACGTAGCCACTGTAGATCTCTAGTGCCTTCATTCATGGCAATATACTCTGCTTCCGTTGTGCTCTGTGCGTTAATCTCTTGCTTTCTTGATCCGTACGAAACCACGTTATCATTGACGAACGTCACGAACCCGCTAACACTCTTTCGGTCATCAGGGTCATTAGCGTAGTCAGCATCGGTGTAACACGTCAGCTTGACGTCGTTCCCAATAACAATGTCCATCACTAAGCCGTGGTCTTGAGTACGACTCAGGTAGCGTAGCACCCTCTTTCCCATAGCGTAGTGTGTGTGGTTGAAGCAGGACAGGTACTTGCTGAGATTACGCACAGCGTGCGCAATGTCCGGCCTTGAGGCTGAGACCAGATATTGTAGTGCACCAACGAGCTCTCGGTACAGGGGCGGGGAGTCATCTTTCGCATCTGTGACCACCTCAGCGCGCAGCGCTTCCGGTGTTGCAACCGCGCTGCAACCCTCCATGTGAAATCGCTTTAGCACCTCCGTAATATGTTGCCGCTGGCAAAATACCGCATGTCGACGCTCGCTGTCGATTAGTATCTCCACTCCTAGTAGATACTTGACTGGTCCGAGAGATGTGAGTTCATACTCCTCACTGAGCTGCTTAGCAACCTTAGCGCAAAGGTCACTAGGGCCGAGGAGCAGTAGGTCGTCGACGTACACCGTGAGCAACATGGTGACTTCTCCTCCCACTTTCCTGGCGTAGAGTCCGTAGTCAGAGTCGAGGAGCTCGAATCCGATCTTCGTCAGGAACTTGTGCAATGTTTTGCTCCAAACGCGAGGCGCTTGCTTTAGCCCATACAAACTCTTCTGTAGCTTGCATACGTAGCGCGTAGAGTCTTCTCCAAAGCCTGGAGGCTGCTCCATGTAGACCTCCTTGTCGAGATCACCGTACAAGAACGCGGTCTTGACGTCGAACTGCAAGATGGCCCATCCGCGTTGCAGCGCGTATACGATCACGCATCTGATCGTCTCAAGTCTGATAACAGGTGCGTGTGTTTCACTGTAGTCGATGCCCATGCGTTGTAGAAAGCCTCTGATCACTAGTCGAGCTTTATATCGCTTAATACGGCCCGTAGAGTCTCTCTTGAGCGCGTACACCCACTTGCACGAAATGACACGCTTGCCCTTGGCCTCCGTGCGTCGCACGAACACCCAAGTTTCGTGCTGCTGCTGTGAGTCCATCTCAACTTGCATCGCTGCTTTCCACTCCTTCCACTTCTTTGACCTTGCCGCATGCTTGTGACTAATGGGGATCTGCACATCCTCGACGTTCTGCTTCGTCACATTCGTCACTACGTAGTCCTTGAGTCAGGCGGATGGTTGTCGCTTCCGCTTCGGTCGCGACGTAGCTGCACTGTCGTCTGGCGACGACTTCTGCGTCGTGCATGGCTCCCAGTTCTCGTCTTCGTGAGCATCACATCGACTGTCCTTGGCCTTCGAAGCTCCCACTCGATTTGCACATGCTTTCGCCTTATTCTTGCCCTTTGTTTTTTTTCCGCTTGGAACCTCCCACTGAAGCTGCTGGCTTCTTAGCGTCCTCGCTTGGTAGCTGTGGGTCATCACTTCGAGTCGCAGACTCGGCTTCAACTTCAACACCTTGGTCATGGCTCTCACCAGCAGTGGCCAGCTTCGCCATCTCCGCTGCTCGTTTTTCTGCAAGCTCTGCAGGAAGCTGCAGGTACGTAGACATTGTCGTCCGGATCGGCACGATCGGGATCTCCGCAGGTAAGTCGTAGTCTCCGTAAGCGTAGGTGTTTGCAGGAAGTTGCTCAATATACACAGTGCTCACCGTGTACTTCTCATGTGCCTTCATGTTTCCATCTCTGCACGTCGTCACTGATCCTGTGCGCAGGTTCAGCAGCTTATAGCCCTTGGTCTTCTCGCTGTAGCCAAGTAGTAAGCACATCTGCGTCCTTGGAGTGAGCTTCTCCTTTCTCTGCCGAGAATCATCAGGGATGTGCGCGTGCACCAAGCACCCCCACGTGCGCAGCACCCTGAGGTCTGGCCGCTCTCCATACAGGGCCTCGTACGGGGACTGCTGGTCCTTCAACACCGGCGTCGGCGTCTTGTTGAGCGTCTCTATTGCATGTAGGAAGGCTTCTCCCCATAATGAAACGTAGCTTGTAACATAGATCTGACCTCCCGCATGGCGGTCTGGTTCGTGCGCTCCACGATAGCGTTCTCCTGCGGGCTGTAGGGATTGGTGGAACGCGTGTCGTTGCCGAGGTCCTTGCAGAAGGTCTCGAGCTTCATGCTGACGAGCTCGCCACCACCATCGGAGAGCAGCATTTTGATGGTCGCCTTCGGAAACTGGTTCTGGATCCAGCGAATCTGCTTCTGAATCAGCTCCGTGGCTTCGTCTTTGTAGGCTAATAGATATCCCCACTTGTATCTCGTAGCTTCGTCGATAATCAATAGAAACTGGTTTGATTTCGATATTGTATCCACTCCAACACTGCATAGGTCGACACAAAGCTTGTGCAAGGGTTTTGCAGAGCGAGACGGCTTGCGCTTGTAGCTCATGCGCTTCGTCTTTGACTCTAAGCATGGAATGCATTCATAGAGAGCAAAATTCTTCGACTGCATGTTGATGCCAAAGTTATAGGTTCCTGCCATAGTCTTGATAGTCTCCATGTTTACGTGGCCCATGCGGTTGTGCAGCAACGTCATGGGGTTCTCAGCTTCACTGGCCTTGACGCTCATCACGGTTCTTTGCTCTGACGTTGCGGTCTACATGCTGTACATCCCGCGGATGTACTTGAAGCGCAGCTTCAATGGTGTCCTTTGACCAGCCACGTAGTCTTCTGATCGTGCGAGATGCGCACCTGGCAGTTTCCTTTGAATTGCATGTAGGGTCTGCGAGATCAGGTTGTAGGAAGCCGACCTTGGCGTAGCTCACGTCACCAAGGAGGCGCTCCTCGATCTTGCCCGTGTGCTCGTTCAGCACTTGCATAAGCACTGTGCCCCACAGTTGCGCGCTCGGTTGTGCCGTTGCCGAAGACTAGCTCTGCAACTGAGTCTTCGTGTAGCTCCGTAAACAAGGTAAGGTCGCTCGAGACGTTGGTCTGCGCGCCGCTATCCAACACCCACTCCACCATGTCCGGGTCCTTGTCCTTGTCCTTGTAGTTGAAGTTGTCACGCACCGCGAGTACATGCTCTTGTCCTTCAGCTTGAGTCGGTGCAGCCGACTTGGCTGTCTTCACAGTAACGACATCAATCATCCTGCGCGGCGGGTTGCTCGAGTTGTTGTTGTTGTTATTGTTGCCACGCTGGCGGCACTCAGGATCGCCACTCCAATGTCCTTGCTCTCCGCACGTGTTGCACTTCGTCTTCGCCTTTCGCTTGGCGATGTCATCCCTCGCACTGGATGAGCTATTGCTCTTCTGCCGTTTGTTCCGCCCACGCGGCGATGAGCTGCGGTTGCGACGATTGTTGCGGTTGTTGTTGCCTCGTGCTTGGCTGCTGCTCATGTTTCGACGGCCTCTTCGGTCGTTGTGTCCGTCGCCACGGCCACCAACAAATGCAACATCTCGCTGGACGGCACGTCCACCTCCACCACGTCCTTGCTGTAGCTCAGTCTCTTGGCGTGAGTGGTCAGCGAGTCGAATACGTTTGATCGCTTGCTCCCACGTAATGGACTCATCACGTCCAATACGTACTTCATGTTCGTTTACCACCGCTGGGTACACACCCACTGTATTTGACAATAGGATAGAGACGGCTTCCTGCTCAGGCAGCTGCTTGTTTGCGCGGCGAAGTCTCTGTTGGTAGTCGTCGATGTCACGAATGTAATCGTCAAGTCGTTCGTCACGTTGCAGGCGACGATTCAGCATATCTCGCTTGAGAAATACGCTGTTTACGCCAGGATGGTTATCAAAATGATCTTCCAGTGTTCGCCACAGTAGGATAGGATCAGCACGTTGAATAACACTTGTAAATCGCATCTGTAGCTCTTGACTAAGTCCCATCGTAGGTTCACGTTGAGCAACACGCAGTCGTTGCTTGAAACAGCCGCGCTGTCCTTCGTTACGTTGGTCTGCCATCGTTTCGCGCTCCATGGTGGGGTCCAAGAGGTGTGCGACGTCGAGAATGGAGCAAATCTCGACGCGCCACGTCTGGTAGTTGGTATCGGTAAGTCTTGCGCTCAACTGCACGTGTCCGATCTGGTTCATGCACCGCGTGCATCTGTGGTCTCCAACCATGGGTTCGTCCGTAGCGGAGTCGGTCCCGGCCTCGGTCTGGACTGGCTGCGCTGCAGCCTCGGACGTTCTTGGGTTTCTTGGCGGCTCGCTCTGACGCGTGCTGGCGCCGGCGGTAAGTTCCTCTGTGCTTGGGTTTCCTCGGCGGGGCCCGTACGGCGTCGGCACTCGCTGCGGTTGTGCTCGAGCCGCTGAGAATTCTTGAATGAGCTGCCTTTGTGGGCGTCGGGTGGATGCTTCCACTGGAATGTTCTGCACTTGCTGCTGATTTGTCAGTGTAGTCATAACGGTACCGAATTGGGCCAATAAGAGCTCGAGTTGTTGCTCAACTCGGGTTGATGATGCTTGTGACGTCGAATGTGTCTTGTCTGACGTTGTCTCGTCTGCTCTTGCAGGCAACTGCAACTCGTCGGACGCGCGCGAGCTCTGCGTACTCTGGCCTGGGCTTCTAGCTCTCCTTCTTGGGCTCATAACCTGAGTGATGGTCGCTCCTCGGCTACGCCGAGTGGTGACCATTGTGATGAAGGAAGAAGTCGTTACAACAGTAAGCTGCAGGGACTGAAAGTCCAGCAGGGGAGAAAACCGAGTGCTGCTGCTTGCTCTTGACGGCGCAAGTTGTCGAGTGTGTAGCAGCACACGAAAAAAACCCCGGTAACATATATTGGTAGGATTAGCAGTAGGATGGGGCTGGCGGCTCGCCAGCCAATGGTCCGTCGAAGTCCGGCTTCTGGACGCGAGCATCGCGTCCTGGAGGCACCTGAGCCTCAGGTTTGAGCTGGACGCAGTCCTGGCTCTTCCTCCACACTTCACACTGTTGGTAATTACCTCTCGTAACGGACGATGATGACCACGTCACGGGAGTATTGTTGACACTCAACGCCCAAATTATGATATTGTACCTGCAGTACCGGTAATTAAACAAAGATTATATCGATGTTTTTTTCGAATAAAATTTTACTAGTACATTTAACTATTACGTAGTACATTCTGGCTATTCCGGAGCAAATGTGCGGTTTGATAAGCACCGGTGGAGATGATCTTAGTAACAGCATTTCACTTGGCTTTATGAACCACTCAGAATCTTAGCTGTAAGTCTGGAAGCCAAATGAATTGTACCCTTGCATTCCAAAGCTTACATGGTGATTCAGTGTATTAAAAGAGCTCAAAACTACTTTAAAGGAAGATGCGTATTTCCGTCTTGAACGCAATAGACATCCTTTACAGCCGATTCTGCAACACATGGAGTTTTCTTGGAGCATATCGACGCATCCACTAGCGTGTTCTCAAGTTGTTGGTATCTCGCCTCAATCGTATGTCGATACAACTGCATGACAAGCTCCAGAACCGTTTCGTCCACCGTCGGTGTAGTCGTGGAGCGCACTAGTACAAGACTTCGAAAGATACTGAGATTAGGGGAGTCTGTGGGTTCAAAGTAGCACCAGCCATACTCGCGCGTGGTCACGTGAAGCGCAGTATTCGGCTGCGGCCAGTCCCCCGCAGCATCCCAAACGTACACCAAGCGGTCCGGTTCAGCGAATTCCTTCAGCGCCAATCGAATAGTAAACGACGCGTTGTCCAGATGCACTTGCCGCTTCGAGACGATCAGATTTGATGCATTTCCAAGAGGGAGACCCTAAATTAAAGAAAAATTAGAAAATCTAGAAATCTTCCAGAATTAGAACAAAACTAGCATCGTACCAGATCTTTGCATGAGTGAACTGTGTTCGGTAGAATGGCTGCTTCACTCTCCATTCGACTCCACATGGCCTTCTTGACTTGCTCTATCGCGTACGGTAGAAACGCACACATCCTCGTCTTCAAGACACACTCCGAGGTGGTCGTCGACGTGGGTCTGGACACTCGCGCGTCGAAGATCTCGGTGGTTGTTCCCCCTACGCCAGCATCTAGCAGAATTCTATCCATATCCACATAATGGCCGTCCACTGTCCTTGCCAGAAACTGGAAAACCGCGTCGTCTTCCACTAAATCGTAAACTAAATTGGCGCCCGAGACAGTGAGCGACTTTGGCAGAGCTTGCAGCAACTGATCGGCCTGAGTCTGTAGCAATTTTCCCACGGCTGCTGTGTCCTCGACACTCTTTTTCACTTTAATTTTTAATGCTTCGTTCTTCTCCTTTAGAGCTTGTAGCTCCCTCGAATCTTCGGATGTCAAGCCATGGAGCTTTTTCTCCATCTCTTTCACTTGAATTTGTAGCCGGTGGATCTCATGTATCGGTCGGTTGCGGTCGCGTCGTCGCTTCTTTTTGGGTTTCGGACTGGATCCTTTACTCGACTTTATTGTGGCACTGGCAGGCCAGAAGGACGGACCAGCGGAACTTGCCATAGAGTCTGACGCGTCGTCGACGGCCTTGGGCATGGTTGTCGACTGCCTCTCCCTGTCTATAGTGATAGAAATTCCTTTCCAACGTGATATTATTTTCGGATGTCAAAAGAAATTAAAAAAGAGCGGTACCGTCGGGAGCATAAATTCAAATACCGGTACGATACCATAATTTCAGAATAAGACATCTCCATGCCGTTCTTGTCCCCGTCTACAGGCTCCAGCGATGGTCTCGTGGAGAGCTTCCTGCACGATATGGATGCTCTTGACCATAACGCACTGAAGCCAAACACTAGCAAAGTCACACCATTGCCCAAGAAGCGCAAACAAGCGACCCATCCGAGTCAGAACAACCCTGAGACCAAAAAAAAGAAGCAGCCGTCGTGGCTCAAGCGCAAACAAGAGCTCGAGCTGCTACGTCAACAAACACAAGCCATGGAAACCCGTGTGGTCTATCTGCAAATGAAGAAAACGTCTCCTAGCGATAATTCCCACTTTTTTAATCTTCAGAAAGAGAAAACCTCAGCGTTAGTAGAGAAGCAACGGTGCATCCTGGCTCAGAACGAGAACATGCAGCTTCGATCTAAGTTTATGCGACAATACGAGGCCCTCCAACTGGCCATGGCGACTGGAGAATATCAGCTAAAGGAGCTTCAAAGGGTCTTGTCGGGAACTCTAAGAGTCGAGTTGGGGACGCTGCGAGCTTGCAGGACCCACGTGTTCGACATGATGGAGAGGAGATTAGACGCCAGATTCCATAAACTGGAGTATGCTTATAGAGCCATGTATCAGCCTATGACGTCGATAGATACAGACAATACAGACGAGAAACGACGAACGTGGGGCTGTGGAGTTTATAAGGCTGGAGCTGCTGCCTTTCGAGGAAAAAACCATCTCGAGTACCATGTGGACATTCATCGAAGAAGGGCGATTCCCTGATGGGGAGCAGTCGATAGTCAGTCGACGTTCTGACGATATTCTGGCCGAGAACACACGTGTAGCAGTGCAGATCGACTGTAAGAGTATGGTTACTATCGATACCCACGGCGTGATCAAACGCTTCATGACACGTCAAGGTTAGGCTGTCATGATGGAAGGTTACTCCGAGTGGACGGTGGATAGTCCTGTGTCAGGAAGGTGGCACCATGTAACCAGAGAAGGAGGCTGCTGTGTCATGAGGAAGTACTCTGTTGATGGTGGCACGACGTCGGGTATCTGTCAGGCGAGATCGCAGTTGTGTCTGTATCCAGATGGAGATCATGAGACGTCGCAGACAAAGTCGAACTCGGTCAGGGACGTGGTGATTTCGTCCTACTCTCAGCTCGTCAAGTCGCGCCACCAGTTTGTGCAGAATGCCTTGTTCGACACCATTCGCTCGTGAAACAGAGGGCTAGAATGGTGCTACATCATGTAGCCTACATGTATTTTCGTAAAGTGTAGCCATGACTCTAAAGACTAAAAGTAAGTCTGATTAATAACAGATTTGATAAAAGTATAAGTCTGATTTAAAAACAGATGGATGTTTTTCATATCATTAAAGATTAAATGTTGCAAGGATGGTTTGATTTATTATCTTGTACAATTTGATCCATCATCTGGTTCTCTAGCTGTTAAAGTCAAGAGCAACATTCTATAGTATGTGGTGGTTAGAGCTTTGATATTTATGAGCAGCAACTCGAGAGCCAACACCAAAAAGTGGAAGTATCTAAAAAAATAGTAGTTGAATTTCTCCATTAATTTAACACAAAACTTACAATATCACATACGTTTTGATTCTGTCCGAGCGTGACTCCTCCGTCAGCTTTGATTTCTCTCCACAAGCAGCGTGTTTCTCTTAAACGGAGTAAATAATTGAGCTTGGAACTTGAGCATGTCCGTTCACTTCGCCTCCCGCATACACAGACTTCGAGCGACTAACATAGCTCTCCACCATCTCTGAAGCCATCCCACCCAATTCTGTCCGTCGAATAACGCGATTCGTGTCCTTATACTGATCATCCACGCTGCGAGTGTAGCGGGGTACTGACAACCCTTGGCTCGCAGCGGGGTTCTCAGCAAGGGTTAAGCTGAAAGTCTTGGCTTGCAGAGGACTTAGCTTTGACAAACGAAGAAGCACAATGTATTTTCCTACTTATCTGCTGCGTGGCTGTCCACTACAGCACTTCAATATGGGAAAGGGAGTCTCACGTAGTGTGCGTCAACTGGCATTCCATAGCGATCACCGTTACTGTAGGTGACGGTCTTGTTATTCACCCCCATGCCAGTTGTCGATTAACACGGAAAGAGACGGCGTATGTTGACGCGTTGCTGCGTCACACCGTAGTCCAGCGTTACGGTGCCGTTAGCATGCACTTCGACAATAGAATATGGCCCTTTGGCCACCTGACGATGCTTGTTACCTCGATCCTTAGCTGCAACTCGCATCATGACTTGATCTCCAGGATGATAGAAATGCTCCAAACGCGTAGCATTCTCACGATCATTATCTCTCAGTATTGCTTCAAATCTGCGCTTCGTGAGATAGCTCCAATTCGTTTCATGAAGCTGCCGCGTTATCAGGTCCTGCCCAAAGACTAAATGTGCTGGTGTTGTACCCAAAATCGTGTGATAACTCGCACGTACTGCAAATGCTGCATATTGAATCACTTGTCGCCAATCTGCTTCCGGGTAGCATCGAATACCATTGTTAATGACTAAATGGACTCGCTCACAAATGGCATTTGCCTGAGGGTTCTTGGTGGAGATTGGCTTTGGCTTGACCGCGTAGCTGGCAAGCATTTCTCGAAACTCTGTAGTGTTAAATTCGTTGCCTTGATCAAACACAACCTCTTTTGGTCTTGGATATCGGCATAACCACGTCACGTCAAAGTTCTCTGCAGTGGTTTTACCACGATTATTTTCTTGAATGGAGACTTCTAGCCATCTTGTAGCTTCGTCAATCACTGTAAGCGCATAGTAGCGATCACTACCGTAAGGCCCCATGGTATCCACATGCACTACGTCGAAAGGATCGACTGTATGCATTTCTCGTGGTGGTAACTTGCCATAATCCTGAGGTCCACCGTGGAGTTTGGCTCTCTTGCATGTAAGACATCTCCTCGCAAAGCTCACCACTGTTTGCTTCATTCCCGACCAATAAAAGAATGACTTCATCGTGTGATACTGGCGCTTGGCACCAGGGTGTACTAATTGAGTGTGATACCAATCGACCAGTTCTTGACGTAATTCGGTGGGAATTAATACACGCTTCTGGTAAGTTAATAGACGTGCACCCATGATATTTTGTATCTTGTAATCCGGGTCGTTTGTACCATTCATGCAGGCTTGGAGTATGTCTTGGATAGCGGAATCTTCATTTTGGTATTGTTTGATGTAGCTGCCCTCCAGAACACACTCAACAGGATCAATCAAGAGCGCCTCCAGCTCAGTCTCTCCTATCTTCTGCTCCGAGTCGCACGCCAGTCGAGAAAATGCATCTGCAGCAACATTTTCCTTTCCGTGAATATGCTCGCAGGTAAGATGATATTCAGATAGTAGCAATTTCCATCGCTTGACCCGCAATGAATTCTCGGTTGGATAAATGAGATTTTTATGGTCCGTGCGGACCACAATAGGAAATCCAAGCAGCATTGTTCTATACTCTTTCAAGATCTCCACCACCGATAATAACTCTAGTTCAGTCGTCGTATAGTTTTGCTGCGCGGTAGTGAGACTTCTAGAGTAAGCTGCTACTAATTTTCCTTGTTGTTCAATCAATCCACCCAACTGCTTTCCACTTGCATCTGCATATATCTCGAAAGGTTTCGAGAAATTGGGGAATGTCAGTAGTACTGCTTTGGCCAACGCCTTCTTAATCTCCTCAAAAGCATTGTTCTCGCTGGATGTCCACTGAAACGCCGTCTTTGGAGACGTCAATCGTGTTAGTGGCTTCAGCATCGCCGTCTTTCTTGGTATCATCTCCCTGTAGTAGTTTATCATACCGATAAACCGACGTAGTTCCTTTTTGTTCTTCGGCCGCTGAATCTGGAGAATGGCACGGATCTTCTTTTCCTGAGGCTTAATCCCGTCTGCATTGATCGTAAATCCCAAGTACTCCACAGTTGCACAGAAAATTCGACACTTTTTACCATTAAGCGTCACGTTGAACTTCTGTAGACGCGAGAACACCACCCGTAAATGCTCCAAATGATCTTCTGCAGTTTTAGAGAAGATGAGTATGTCGTCTAAATAGACGACAACAAAGTCCAAATCGCCCAGAATTCTAGACATGCACGCCTGGTACTCATCTGGCGCCGTTGAGATTCCCATTGGGAGTCTCTTATACTGGAATTTCCCGTACGGTGTACAGAATGCCGTAAACGGTCTGCTTTCTTCTGCCAACTGCCTAGCATAGTATCCCATATTAGCGTCCAGAGAGGAGAAGAACTTCGCTCCGCCCAGACGTATCAAGACTTCCCGAATTAGCGGCACGTAGTAGGGGTTACGCTTCAAAAACTTGTTCAAAGCTCGGAAGTCGGTCAATAATCGCAGACGCCCATCTGGTTTCTTTAAGAAGAAAGCCGGCGAAGCCCATTCGCTATCGAATATCTGCTCCAACACGTCGAGCTGCATGAGTCGATACAATTCTTTTCTCGCTGCGTTTTCTTCGCTCCTTGGAATTGAATATGGGCGTGCCTGTATTGGTGTATACTGCTCTGCCATAGGGAGAATATAGTCAGGAAACTTCATCCGCCCTAAATGCCCATTGTACAATTGCTCGAATTGCTTAAGCAGCTTGATTACTTGCTCGTATGTGGACTGATCAATTTCTGCTGTCCCGACCATAGCTTCAGGCGCCACAGAGGTGTCGTTGATCTCCTTCACTTCCTCCTGTATGTTCGGACCTCCATTTTCATCACTTGCTGTGGACTTGTCTCCCGTGTTCACTGCCACCGTGTTGCCATTCCATTCCACTATCCCATCGCGGAAATTTACAATTACCCCAAGCGCACTTAATAGATCCCGCCCGATCACCATCTCGTCCTTGGCATCGTTGACGACGAAAAATCTATGCGTAATTCGAGACCCATAGTTCAAATCCATCAAACGAAATTGAACTTGTGTCGATCCAGCCACCTTAACGTAGCCCTCGACCTGTTCGTATGTCAGATCAGACGGAGACATCTCAAAGCCCAGCTCACGATTTGCCGCCAGTAACTCCCCGTTAATGAAGCTTGTTCCGCATCCTGTATCCACGAGTGCGACGCGCTCCTGCCTTGTCTTGCATAATCGGAACCGGAGACGCATAGGAGGTTTCTTAGACGGCTCTCTGTCCTTCAGTATACTACCGATGACTTTACACTCACTCTCGTCACTGAGCGAGTAATCAGAATCCATCTCCTCCACAAGTGTCATCTTCGCTTCCTCAATCTTCTTTGCTGCTGACCACTGTATTACCGCCGTGGTTTGACGTATTTTTCTTCTGCGTAAAACACTCGCTATCAGAATGCGAGCTCGTCTTGTGTAAACTACACCACTTGTCACCGTTGCTCTTCTCCCGTGACTGAAACTGTTTTGACGAGTGGGACTCCTTCTTATCCTTCTTCCCAAAGTTCTTCCCGCTACCTTTGTAACCGCCATGCGGCTTACCACCATTCTGCTTACCGTGCTGCTTCCAGCCTCCAGAATGACGCTCCTTGCCCTGACGTCGTTCAGACTGTTCAAGCCGTTCAAAGTACTGGACAGCTTTAGGCATGGTGGTGAGGTGGACACCGCTGAATTCGTATGCTGTCTTCCACTCATTTGGCATAGCCCGCTTGAACGTCCGGATCATCGACTGCTCGTCGACAACCAGAGCGTTTGTGGGTAAATTCTTCAGCATTCGAGTGATCTGTCGCATTCGCTGATGACACTCAGCCACAGACTCATGGCGTCTCTTCGCAAAGAGAAACAACTCCTCCTCCAGTCGCTCGTGATACATGCTCGGCACGAACATGTGACCCCACTTCTGGTACGCGTCATCAAACGTGTCCTGGTCCGCCATGTCTTCGGATCCAGACGTGTCAACCCACGCATCTAATGCCTCGTCATCTAGCACCAAACACAGGTGCTGTGCCTTCTCTTCCGACGACCACTTCTTCATCTTACTAACATGCTCGAACTGTTGAATCCACTGGAGCCATTCCTGCGCCGAACCGCCACTGAAACGCGGAATACTGATCTTAATGAACTCACGCTCATGACTCCCAGTCTTCTTCCTGGTCGTAACCTGAAACGTTACGGATCTCGACACACCAGTGCCTTCGTTACCTTCTTCACTCATTGTTGCGTTCTTGCCTTCCTTGCTTTGCTCTTGGAACACCTCCTCCCCAAGGTTTGCGATATCGCAAAGTGACAACCCTT